CTGCCGCTTCCACTGGTCGAAGACCACGGGGGCCCTGGGCCTAGGTTCCAGCTTCGTGTCATGCGGCGCGCTGCACTTGTCGAACGCGACCGTCTTGCACGTCGGGAAGTCCGCCACGGAGGCCGACCACGGGGCCAGGTTGTCCAAGCTGCTGCCGCCGAAGCTAAGCGAGGCGCATGCCATCGCGATCCGGTTGGACACTGTCGCGGGCGTCTCGACGGCGAGCATCAGGGCCTTGTTCTGCTCACAGGTCCGGCGCAGAGCGTAGAACAGCTCGCGCCCGAGGACCTCGTCGCAGACCTCCACGGTTAGCTGGCCACAACCGCGCGCCAGGTAGACGTCCAACTCCTCGGCTCTACCCAGTGCCGCCACTGTCCCTCGCTGGGCTGCCTTGTCACCCTGCCGGGCACTGGCAACCCCTTCCAAGGCGTGGAGCATCCTCGCGGTGTTCGCGCCCAGTGTTGCTCCGGGCTGCGCGAGGCCGAACGGGTCGGTGCCCCCGCCTTCCTCCGGGGCTCCAGCGGCGTAGCGCGCTGGCGCTGTGGTCAGACCTGGGGGTAGGCCCAAGTCACTGATGTGCTGGTCGTAGCGGAACAGGGCCCCGATGTTCGGGGCCTGTGGGCGGACGACCGGGGCCAGCCCAGCCGTGGTGGCTGGGAAGCCGGCGTCCCGTGGTCCGAGAGTGAAAGCTGGCGGGGCGGCAGCTGGCGAGAGGGGCGGACGCGCTTCGAACAGGGGCGCGCTGTCGGCCTGGGTGGCCGGCGGCCCCTGCGAGCGGTGGCGCTCGGGCGGGAGCTTGAGGAGACCCTGGAGGCTACTAGGCGCCGCCTCTGGGGTCTGCGGTCGCGAGGGCACTTGCTGGAGCACCTCCCAACTGCCGATGTGCCCATCGAGCCGCGCGAGCTCCTCTGGCTCTGTCGTCTGCTGCTTGAGGTACTGGGCGTAGCGGATGAGGCTGGCGAGCACCTGCTGGGCTTCCTCGTCGAAGCCGGCTGCCACACTCTGCACCGCTGCTGCGTCGCTCGACCCGCGGGCCTTCTCCTCCAAGTAGCAGGCCATCATGTCCCCGCCCTCGTCTCCTTGATGGCTCTCTCCTGAGGCGGGTGCTTCGGAGCTCGCTGCCCGCCCGCCCTCGGCTGACGGGGGGCGAGAGCCACGACGCGTGGACCCAGAGGGTGGTCTGGGTGAGCTGATGCGATCGAGCCGCTGCCAGTGGCTGCGCAGCTTGGCGTCTGCCTCTGTGGCTCGTGCCTCGAAGCTCGGGCTGGGCGCCACACCTCCCTCGGGGTGCCACCTGACTAGGTTGACCACCTTCTCCCGGAGCAGCCGCCAGCGAGCCTCGCTGAGTGGCCCAGCTCGCCCGCCTACGGGGAGACCGTGCCACGCCGCCAGCTTGTGCCAGACTTTCTCGGGTACGTTGGTCGCCGAGACGCTGATGCCGAGCTCCTCACATCCCAAAGGCGCGTGGTGGAGCATTTCCTCGATGAACCCCGCTGGCAGACGCCCGGAAGGTCCCGGGGACGGTGCACGGATGACGCCGTCAGGCTTCACGAGAAAGCGGATGGTGGTGCCGGTCGGGTCTTCCACTTCGAGGGCCAACGCGCCGTCGAGGTATTCAGCCACTGCGCTGGCCGCGGCGGCATCAACCGCCCTTCCTCTGAAAATCATCCACTGCGCTCCTTCTGGCCAATGTACCTTCGCCCGTGCGATGAAGTGTCGCCCGAGGGGCATAGGTGGCGGAGTAGGCGGCTTGGGGAACTCTGGAACTGGCGGCGCTTCGAAACGCACGCTCGGTGGCCCAGCCGGCGCCGGGGCGGGGTCGCCCGGTCTGATGGGCGCCTCTGGAGCAGAGGTCGTCGGGGCGGAGCGCTCTGGTGTGCGACTCCGGGCTGGAGCGGCGGCTGCACGCTCTGGCGTGCGGCTCCGCGGAGCTGGGCTCCGCCGAGCACGGCGCCGCAGTCCCGCGAAGAACCCGACTCCCGTGGGGTTGTCGTGGAGCGCTCGAGCAGCATCGCCCCCAAGGTGCTGCAGGCAGAGTGGGACCCCTGAAGCCATGCCCACCGCCTCGCGGAATCACGTCACCTGAGAGCACTTCTCGCCGTAGCGCAGGACCATGTAGATCTGCCTGTGATGCTCGCAAAGGCAGGCCGTCGCACTCCCTTCGCTCGGAAGCGGTAGATCCGAAGCCCGGCCATCTTCCACCAACAACACGGCAGGGTCACCGCGCGCGGCGCCCCGACAGCCCTCGGGCGCTAGTGGGCGCATCTTGCCCTTGATCATGGGCCCCACCTTCACCGCCTCGCAGGGGTTGTCCTCGGCGTCCACCTCGGACTCGGACTCCAGGTCAAGCAACCTTGCCACCGACCCCTGCACGCCGGGCTCCGCGTCGCCAGTCCTGTGACGGCGGCGTCGCCGGCGGCAGAGGCACGCCCCGCAACGCGAGAGCCACGAGAGGACGTACAGCAGCAGCTTGTAGACGAGGCCCAACCACCTCCAGAGCCAAACGAAAATTCGACAAGGTGTGAACCTCGAATAGTCACCGAGGTCCACGATGGCTTCGTTGTCAAGAGCGGCGTACTCCTTGCAGTGCAGCTCGTTCTCGCGCCCCTTGCACCCGGCACAGCTGGTGGAACGGCGCAGGTGAAGCCAGCGGGGATCTCGCTGCTCCAGCTCGCGCCTGAAACCCTTGTCGCTGGCACCCTTCACAGAGTCAGACTCCACCCACAATCCTTGGCGATTGATGCGCTCTGGGGACTTCATGTTGAGCTTGAGCCGGGCGACCCGGTAGTCAACCCTGATCATGAGGTCATTCTGGCCGCGCTTGGAGCCCCGGCCCTCCTTGATGCTCTTGCGGTACCAGTCGGTCGTCGGGTCGGCACCCGCAGCTGGACCGTGCCACACCACGTCGGTGAGGGGGGGCGCCGCCGGCGGGACCAGCTTGTCAAGGTTAGCCTCGCCAGGCGTCTTGCGCCTCGGGCACGGACAGCATGCCAGCACCAGGCCGCAGGTCCAGGCCGCCCAGCTGCAGGGTGCGAAGAGCGTCCTCAGGCTGTGGGCCCGGAGCGCGACCACGCCAGTGCTGGCGAGGACCGCCACGAGCCCGGCGATCAGCGGCCACGCGGAGCCGAACAGGTAGAGGCCCACCTGGTCGGCCATGTACAGCACCCAGCCGCCGTCGGAGCTCAGCCAGCCTCCTGCCTCGCGAGTCGAGAAGGCGGACCTGAAATTCCCCACAGCCCGAATGGTACCTCCCCCCATCCCTTCGGCGAACCAATGCGTGCGGTTGCCGATGTCCCTCCAGCGGATGCCAAAGAGACCCCAACCCCTGAGCCAGGACGACGGGTCCGAGTCGGGGGGGTCGGGGGGAGTACGGGTTGGGCCTCGGGGAGGCGGGTCGGCCGGCGGCGCGGAGCGCTCGCGCGGCGGACCTCCTCCGGCACCCCCCGCGGGAGCTGCATGCTCTTCAGATGGGTGCGCTCCGATCGGCGGCGGGTCCACGGAGGCGGGGACCAGCGTGCCGTCGAGCCAGAACGCCCGCATGTCCACGTCCGACATGTCGTCGTAGTACGCGGACTCGGCCCCGTGGTCGACGTTGACGGCCTCGGCCGCGACCACGAGGCACATCAGCAGGACCGCCACTCGCCCGCAGCGCCTGCCGGCAGGCGGCGGCGCCGGGGCCTTGGGGCGGCTCCTCCAGGCAGGCCCTGGCGCGCGCACGCGCTCTGCCGCCTTCGCCTGGCACCGTGCCGGCGCCGGCGCGGGCTCGCGCCTGGTCGCCGGCATGGCGGGGGGGCTCGGCGGCTCTGCCTCGGCGGCCGCCGCCTCGCCTCCAGGTGCTCCGCGGCTGGCGTGAGCCGGCGCCGCTCGGCGCCTGGACACCCCGCCGCTGCGCAGCTGCGCGCCCGCGGGCAGCATCGCTGCCGCCCCCCAGCCGCGCGGCGCCAGGCGCGGCATCATGCGGCCGCGGGCGCCCCTGCCAGGCCTGGAACCAGGACCTGGAAGTCTTCTGGCCCTCTCGGGCCCGGCCTTAGGCCAACTGAGGCCGACCCCCAGATTGGCCTCAAAAGGCTTGAGCCGCCGAATGGCGGTGGTAAAGAAGGGGAGAGAGGGCAAGCAAGAGGCAAGGGCAGGAGCGAGGGGACCAAGGGAGAAGCCCGCGCCAGTCCTGGAAAACGGGGAGATCCATCAGTTTTTCCAAACATCCTACTTCTGGAGCTCCTTCTTTGCCTGGGCCACCGCTCTTGTGATGTTCTTCTCCAGCGTAGAGCCCTTGGGCGGCCACTCCAACCCACTTCATCCAGGGCAGCTTGGCGGCACTGGAGGCTTTCGGCTGCATGGTGCATTGTTGCTTGATAGCTTGAAGTGCCCACGCAGCGCCGACCTTCGCACACCTGGCACTGGCCTAACCATCCAAGATTTCTGTGCGCAGCGAAGGAATATGAGTAGCGCATCTATGAGAATGGCCCTGCACCTTTGCCCTGCTGAGGCGTCTGACACTTGACCCGGGGCAGCTGCGCCATTTCGGAGTGAGCTGCCCCAAAGGATATGTTGTTAGTTATTTGGAAAGTGTTGAGATGAAGATTCGGATAAATAGGAGGAGATGGAAAAGGACCAGGAGTTTGAGGAGGAAGGGGATTTGAAGAAGGATGGGGAGGAGTTGGAGGAGAAGGCGTTGGAGGAGGAGGAGGAGGAGATGGAAGAGGAGGAGGAGGAGCAGAAGAAGGAGAAGGAGAAGGAGGAGAAGGAGCAGGGGATCCAGAGCAATTGTGGGAGGAGTCGGAGGAGGAGTCAGAGGACGAGCGGGAGTGAGAGGAGGAGGAGGAGGAGGAGGAGGAGGAGGAGGAGGAGAGGAGGAGGAGGAGAGAGGACGAGGAGGAGAGGCGGAGGAGGAGGAGGAGGAGGAGGAGGAGAGGAGGAGGAGGCGGAGCAGGAGGAGGAGGAGGAGCAGCAGCTGCAGGAAAAGGCCCCACCTCGGCGGCCCTCCCCCCGGGCGCGCCCAGGCCGCGGTGGCCGGGCCGCCGCAGAGCGCCAGCCCACGTCTTGAGCAGAGCCTGGACAGGACCCGCCGCGGCCTCTCGACGATGGCGGTGCCTCCGCCCTCCCTCCCCAGCCGTCCTCCCGTCCTCCCTTTCCTCCCTCTTCCTCCCATTCCTCCCAGTCCTCCCAGTGCTTCCATGCCTCCCATTCCTCCCTTCCTCCCCTCCTTCCCGTCCTCCCGTCCTCCTTGCTTCCCATTGCTCCCATCTCTCCCACGCCTCCCCTCCTCCCTTCCTTCCGTCCTCCCGTCCTCTCTTCTCTTCCTCACGTCTTCGCGTCCTCCCTTCCTTCCTTTCTCTCCCTCCATTCCTCTTATTCCTCCTATTCCTTCCCTTCCTCTCATTCCTCCCATTCCTCCTATTCCTCCTAAGCTTCCCATATCTCGAATTGCTCCCGTTCCTCCCAATCCCCCCTTTCCTTCCATTCATCCCATTCCTTCCATTCTTCCCATTCCTCCCTTCCTCCCGTCCTCCCTTCCCTCCTTTCTCCCTTCCCTCCTCCTCCTCCTCGGCGACCTCTTCGTCCTCGACCTTGCCTGACTGTACTCACGCAGCGCCATCGGGCGTCCACACTCCACCCTCGCGCGCTCGCGGACCCCTGCGGCCCGGCGCCCGGCCTTCGCGAGTGTGGGGCCCCCCAGACGTCACTGGGGGACCACTTCCAGTGAAGGGGGGGAGGAAGAGGGAGGGCATCTCACCATCCCGTATGCGTCCTGCGGCCCACGAAAGGGGGGAAAAGGACGAGTGAGCGGCCGGGCCACTCAGTGGAGGGAGCTGTTCGTACCGAGGACGGCGTCGCTTGCGCGTAGCGTGAAGTCGGGCATGTCCCTCTACAGGAGGAACAAATAATCAGTCAGAAAATAGTCAGGGGACTTTTTTTTGTGTATTTGTTGACTATTGTGGAGTATGTGTTGAAGGTATTTTTATATTTTCTCTCGCCCAAAACCCGGCTGTAGGGGGGGCACGCCCGACCTAACGCTTGCGCGTAGCGTTGTGCACGTCGTTGGCTTCTCCCTCCCTCCGCAACCCCTGCAGCTCTTTCCTGTCCCAGTCCGGACGTGTCGGTAGGGCGTCTGGGGCGATTCGCTTGAGATGTTTCTCAGCGTTTACGATCATGCAGCACGGAATCTGCAACAGTTTCAAGTCTGGAAGTCACCACCCACCAAACCACCCCAACCCAACCCGAAGGCTCAGATTTACCCTCGATTTTCAGTGTGGGGGGGTCGGGAAGCATCGAACAAAAACACATGTGGAACCCTTACCCCCCCAACCCGAAATTCGGGTCTTCGGGTTGGATTGGGGTGGTCTGGTAGGTAGTCAGGAAGGTGGGCATGTCTGAACATGTGTCCAAACGCCATAGACATGACGCTGCCGAGGGACCCCACACACTTCGTTCTAAGTATAGTCTTCACGTAGCTGGCGTGCAACATACGTGGATGGTGCTAGGTGGTCAAGAACGTGCCACATCTGCTGTGCTGTGGACGACCAGGGCGGATAGCGCCTCCCGCTCCCTGCTCAGCCTCCACGGGTGTGGAGAAAATGCCACGCCGGCTATGCCTTGGGCGAGAGGCGCATATAGCGCCCCCCACCTCCTCCCGCGCACGCACTCTGGTGTCGAGAACGTGCCACGCCTGCAATCTGGAGTCGAGAAAGTGCCACGCCTGCTTCGCCCTGGACGACTGCTGGCACGGATAATTAGCGCCCCCACCCCTTTCTTTGGCTTTCCCTCTGGTGTCGCGAAAGTGCCACGCCTCCTACGCCCTGGACGACTCCTGGCACGGATACAGCCCCCACCCGCTGCGCATTCCCTATGGTGTCGAGAATGTGCCACGACTGCTATGCCCTGGGCGACTGGCACGGATAGCGCACCCACCCCACGCGCACCGCTTATGGTGTCGAGGAAGTGCCACGCCTGCTGTGCCTTGGGCGTGGTGTGGTGTTCGTGGTGCTGTGTTGTGTGGTGCGTGCCTGATGTGTGGTGTTGTGCGGTGTGTCTGATGTGTGCTGTGTGTGACGTCCAGTGTTATGTTGTGCCTCATGTTTGCTCTGGCCGCGCTGGCATGTCGTGTATAGATCCCGCGCTGAATGCTATCGCGTGTGTCTGGATGGTGCGATGTGTGTGTGTGTGTTTGTGTGGTGTGTGGCTGGAGTGCGCTGCGTATGGTGTGTATGTGTGCGTTATGTGTGTGGCTGGCGTGTGTGTGTGTGTTGTCTGACGTGTGTGTGTGTGTGTGTGCGGTGTATCTAGTGTTGTGTGTTGTGTGTTGTATGAATTGTGTGAGTGCGTGAGTTGCGTGGTGCAGTGTTTGTGTGTGTGTGTGTTTGTGTGTGTGGTGTATGTGTGTGTGTTTGTGTGTGTGTGCCTGTGCGTGTGTGTGTATGTATGTGCGTGTGCGTCTGATCTGCGTGGTGTGATGTCTGTTGCGTGTGCGATCGTGTTTCCTGGTAAGTGTACGAAGTGTACGGCAAGAAGGGGGAGGAGGAGATGCGTGAAACGCTGGTGCGACGCGGGTGGGGAGATTACTCCGACGGTAGGACCCCGCATGATATCCCTCTCTTTCCTCCGCCTCCTCCTCTTCGTCTCCATCTTCCTCTCCCTCCTCCTCCTCCTCCTCCCCCTTCTTCTCCTCCTCCTCCTCCTCCTCCTCCATATCTTCCTCCTCGTCTCCAGGACTCTCCTGCAGTGCTCGGTGCCTCTCGGCCCTCCCTGTTGGGGGTGAGATACCGTTCTGAAGAGACAAGTCTGCCTCCTCTCTCTGGCCTCTCATCTGCGGCCCTTCTGTTCACATCTGGTCCGATTCGAGCGCCCTCTTTTTGTGGGCTCTGCTGGTGGCGGAAGTGGCAACGGGTTGCGACGCCCTTCGGGAGGCCGAAAACCAACCCCAGCGCAACCCAGCGGCAGCCCACCCTTCCTCCTTCGATGCTCACGCGTCGACCGAGGCCGAGGTCGGCGGTCTGACGGACCTTCTCGGGTACGCCGCCGCCTCCTCCTCCTCCTCCTCCCGCCTCCTCCTAAGGCCTCCTGCCTCCTCCTGGGGCCTCCTAGGGCCGCTGGGGGCTTCCTGGAGCCTTCTGGGCCTCCTGGGACCTCCTGAGGCCTCCAAGCGCATTCCTCATTCTCCTTCTCCTGCGATGCCCGAGCGTGTCCTTGAGGATGGCTTCCCGTTTTTTTCGTTTTTGGAGACGGCTCGGGCCGGCAGTTAAGCAGCGACCCTCGTCGCCGACGTGCGGGCGCGGCTGCAACAACGCTGGCGGCGGCCTCTGGGGGCTGGCGGCCGCGACCCTTGGGGGTCGCCGTCAGAATGCGCCCAGAGCCGAGATCCGGCCGCTCCCGCCGGGCGGGGTGGGCCGTGCGAGACCTCTCTGACAGAGTGTTTGGCACAATCTTGGGCCCCTTTCGCCAGTGCCTGGTCAAAAACCTCCCTGGGGTCCCTCCGAGGGGGCCCCACTCTGCCGCCGGACCCCCCCTATCCCCCTGGGGCCCTTCAAGGTCCGGAACAGCCTGGGGACGACCCAAGAGCGCCCCAAGCCGGTCCAAGAGAGTCCCAAGACGGTCCAAGAGCGCCTCCAGACGGCTCCAGATCGCTCCAAGACGCCCAAGATTGCCTCCAAACGGCCCACAACGCTTCCAAAACGGCCCGAGAGGTCTCCAAGAGCACCCCCAGGAGAGCCCCAAGAGACAACAATCCTTGATTCGTGTATTGTTTTTGAAGGATTTCTGCGTTCCCGCCATTTTGGCTGACCGACGCTCCAAAACGTCCCAAGAGGCCCCCGAGATCGCCCCCAAACGGCCCAACAAGCCCCCAAGAGGGCTCCAAGACAGCCAAAGAGGGCCCCAAGACGGCCCAAGAGGCCCCGGGGACGGCCCGAGAGGGGCTCCAGGATGGCCCCACGAGGGTGCCCAGAAGAGGAACCCGAATGAACATGTCGAGCTTTCGGTCCCAAGAGGCCCCCAGGAAGCTTTAAGAGGTCCCCAGGAGGCCCCCAAGAGGCCCCAAGAGAGCCCTAAGAGGCCCCAAGAGGGCCCCCACAGGCTCCCCCAAAAAAGCCAGGATGGCCCCCAAGAGGCCCCCAAACTCCGCCGCAGAGGCCCCCGAGAGCACTCTCGAGAGACCCTAAGAAGCGTCCATGAGGAATCCGGCCCAAAACCCAAGCACGGCGGCGGGATGGGCCGACGGCCATTTGATACCTGGCATACGCGCCGCGTCACGACTTTCGATGCTTCGCACCACTTCGGCAAACTCCCAGGGAACGGCCGGTGATGCGCCGCCGGCGTCCTCGATCCGAGCTTTCGAGCTTGAGCCCAGGAAGTTCCCAGGCCAGGTGCGTCTTGTCACGGGCAATGCTGCCCTGCATTTGGGGTGGCTTGCCACTGGGCGCGAGAACTACAGGGGGTTCAATTCCGGTGTGTGGTTTCGCGTCCGTGCTGCCTTTTCGGAACGAGGGGAGGGAGAGGTCCAGGTTGCGCGGCCCCCGTCGCGTGTTGATGCTGATGGCCCCTCACTTTCCTTTTTGAGGGCGTTTGTGCGCCATGGGCAATGGTTTCGCCGACGTTCTCGCGGGGGAAGAGGCCCAGCTTTCCTGGGCCCACGACCTGCGGGTCCAGGGCCCCCCCGACGCGGACGTTTTGGATTGCGCGGCGGCGTTGGTTAGGCGTAGAGCCGCCAGAGCTACGGTGGACTCCGTCAGTGTTGCGCCTTGGTCCGCGGTTCGGCCTCCCGTGGCCCGTCGGGTTCCCGAAGGCCTTTTGGGGGCCCTGCGCAGGAGCGAGCACTGTTTGCGCTTGGTCCAGGCCGAACGTAAGTGGCTGTGCTCGCTCTGCCATACTGTGTTCCATGCTGCACACGTGGCGGAATTCGGCTCCACTTCGTGTACGGCCGCGGCCCAAGACCTATTTGGGTCTGTCTGAGTTCGGGGTGGCGCGGGCGATCGGGGCGGTGACTGTTGGGGGGGAAGGCGCGCCACGCGTCTTATACTTTGGATTTCTGGCCCAAGTTTGGGCTGCATGTTTGTTTGGCGTGTGGTAAAACGGCCACGGAGGACCCACGCCATCTCATTTCGGAGCGCGCGACCCGCACCGAGAAGGGTCTCGAAGACCTCTTGAGAATTCAGAAGGGGCTTTTCCCCAGCCACCAGGGTCCGCCCAAGGCGTCTCTGGCTAGAGAGCTGGGTATCGTCAGGCGGGAGGCCGTCCTCTGTGGACCGCCGCTTGGGGTCTTCGTTGGTTAATTCGCTACCATTTCGTGGATACCAGCGAATTCCAACGAATTTCTCTTTGTCGTCGTGCACCTCCTCCTCCTCCTCCTCCTCCTCCTCCTCCTCCTCCTTCTCCTCCTCCTCCTCCTCCTCCTCCTCCTCCTCCTCCTCTTTCTCCTCCCCCCCTCCTCCTTCTCCTCCTCCTCCTCCTCCTCCTCCTCCTCCTCGTCGCTCTCCCATCTCCCCCTCTCCCCCGCGCGCGCTCCTGTGCACCCCGCTTCTGCGCGCGTGGGCGCGCTGGGGTTCAGGGGCGTTGATAGGGGAGGAGGGGGACGGGGGGGGGGCGGCGAAGGACGAGGAGGAGGACGACGACGGGGAGCACGACCCCCCGTCGACGCCCGTTCGCCGCACCGCGCCCAGCCCCTTTCACCCCCCCCCCCGTGTCCGCAGCAGGACCCCGCCGCCGTGGCCCGCGGAGCCGCCCTCGGCCCCGCCACGCCCCTCTCCCGCGGGCCGCCGCCTCTCGGGCCTCCCTCTGCCTCGTTCCCCTCGCGTGGCCCCTGCAAGGGGGGAATGATTGGCCCACTCTGTAAGAGCGGTATACACATTTATACATATATCTATATATATATATAGAGAGATATTTGAATATGTATATATATACATCTCCACATAAACACATACGTATATATATATATATATATATATATATATATATATACATATGTATATAAAACTGACCTGCCTTCCAAAATTGGTCTACCCTGTACGAGCGGTTTCTTGAAGGCAGACCTGCCTTCGAAAACGGAGGACATGTTGGTGCACTGTGTAAGAAAAGGGATCACCGTTCTTACAGTTTAGACAATGTTTGAAGGCAGATCTGCCTTCAAACAGTTTTCCCTTACGGGTTAGACAATTGTTTGAAGGCATATCCGTATCCATGAAGTAAAACGCTCTCACAGAGCAGACATGTTTTTGAAGGCAGACTTGCCTTCAAAAAATATGCGATTACAGAGTAGTTCGGTATTTCCCAAGTCATCCCCGTCCTTACCCCGGCGCTACCAGAAATGATATTGGACTTACGGCGCTGGCCGCTGAGGCCTTGCGGTATGGGGTTATGGCACAATGTTGGCGGCAGTGGCCCGATATGGTTTGAGGGTTGTTTGGATCGGCCGTTTTCTAATTTCATGTTTCGCGGGTTTCCAAGGCATGGTGCCATTCCATGCGTTTGCTCTCACCGCCCTGCCGTTGATTCCGCTCGGACAGTGCGTTCGGGATTTCCCTTTTGAGGGGCAGCGGAGTCCTCCTCCATGCCTAATTGCCGTGGAACCTATATATATATGTATATATGTATATACGTATATATGTATATATGTATATATGTATATGTATGTATGCATGCATGTGTGTATGTATGCATGCATGTATATGTATGTATGTATGCATCCATGCATGCATGCATGCATGTATGTATGAACGTGTATATATATATATGTATGCATGTATGTATGTATATATGTATGTATATGTATAGGTATGTGTGCATGCATGTATGTATGCATGCATGTATGTACATACGTATGCATGTATGTATGTGTGTAGGTGTGTATGTGTGTATGTATGTATGTATGTATGTATGTATGTATGTATGTACGTATGTATGTATGTATGTATGTATGTATGTATGTACATATATATGTAGGTATGGATGTATGTATGTATGTACACATGCATGTATGTATGCATGTATGGATGTATGTTTGTATGTATTGATGTATGTATGTATGTATGTATGTGTGTGTATGTATATGCGTACATGTATGTATGTATGTTTGTATATATGTATGCATGCATGCATGTGTGTATATATGTGTGTATGCATGTATACATTCATGCATGTATGTATGGATGTATGTGTGTATGATGTACATATATATGTATAAGTGTGTGGTAGCCCCCCCCACACACATGATCATACATGTTCTTCTGTTTCTTCTTGCTCGTCGTCGCTCCTCCTCCTCCTCCTCCTCCTCCTCCTCCTCCTCCTCCTCCTCCTCAAGGCATCTGGGTCAGGAGTGCGCAGGTGCAGAGGGCGACAGGCGCCCGCTCCCACACTTTCTGCATGCCTTCGCCAGGAGACCTCCCCTCCACATCTATACTTTCTCGCGATGGGCTGTAGATGTCTCAGTGTGGGCTGCTGGCTCCTGCTCGTCCTCATGGCTGGGCAACGTTTGCGCGTGCTCCAGTACAACCCCTTGCACGCGTCGAGCGGCGAGAGGCTCACGTCCATTGCGCAGGCCTGCAGGGCCTACGACTTTGTGTGCTTGAACGGTACCACGGCCAAGGGGTACGGCAGGGAGCGCTCGTGGGAGGCGCGATGGCGACGCGCTGGCGATCACAACTGGTGCATTGAGAGCGGGTGGGCGAGGGGGCCGTTCACGAACAAGAGCGCTGGCTGCAGCATCATTCTTGGGTCCAAGATTCGGCGCGGTTCGATCACACATACGTGGACGCCCCCCGCCTCGCTGGCTGGCCGTGGCCTGGCCTTGCGGGCTCGCTGCGCGAAGTACGACGTCGGGATTTGTTCGGCCTGCTTCCCGCCACCGCCTGTGACGGGCGGCGCCGACGTCTATCGCTGCACCTGCGATGCCCTGACCAGCTGGCTGCGTGAGTTGCCGTACTTGAGCGTGAAGAGGGTGCTCCCGATCTTCTGCGTCGACCTGAACTCGGGGTTCGGCCTGCAGCAGCTCGACGGGGACAGCACCTGGAGGACGGTCGAGTCCGACGTGTTCGGGTCCGACGCGCAGGACAAGCAGCGCTACGCGGCGGACTGCCTGCTGCCGCTGATGGAGGAGCTCGGCATGGTGGCGGTCAACACCTACATCGGCTGCGGCCCCACGTTCTTCGGGACCAAGACTGCCACGCAGATCGACTTCGTGTTCATGCCGAAGACCTTGCTCGGGGATGTCACCCCGGCTGGCCCTATTCGGCGGCTCGGACGCGACCTACAAGTTATCTCTACGGTGCAGGCGCGCGACCACGTGCTTGTTCATTTGTGCATGGAGTATTCTATCGGGCAGACGACGGATGCGCACGTCCACTGCAGCATGGCGGAGAACATTCGGCCCGGCTACGTTCCACGACTTGCCAGATGGAATCGCGAGGCCTTAAAGCAGTCTCTTCGCAGTGGGCAAGGACGCGCCGATTTTCTTTTGGAATTGGAAGCATATGTGAGATCGACGGAGGAACAGTGGAAGCATATTCAACATGATGAGCAGACGCCAAACAATGATTGGGGTTTCTTTATGGACGCATTACTCACTATCGGAGGCAAACATTTCTCACGGGCTCCCGAGTACCGACCTGGACATCGCACGCTAGCGGCGACGATCCAACCTCTCCTTGACCGACAGCGGGAGCTTCGGCGTCAACTTGGCGCATTCTGGCCCTGTGGACGGTACACTGAGGCTCGTGGCCTGTGCACTGAGGCCCCATGTCCTGGCCTTGTGGAGGCAAGCGGGTACACTGAGGCTATATGTCCAACGTTTGAGATTGACGAGTCCCTCAGGCTGTCTCTGCTGGAGGTTCAGTGGCAACTTCGACGTCGCACTAAGTGGTTGCGGTCTGCACGCAGACAGTATTGGAAGCGTTGGCGAGAAGATACGGTGGATGAGCTGAACGAGGCGCGCAGGCAGGGACGAAGAGCTGAAGTTGCACGACTTTCGCGAGTGCTGGCAGGCACTGGAATCGGTCCTCGTAAGCGAGATTATCGTCGCGCCCCAGTTGCGCTCCCGGCGGGGGAGGAGCTTGCTGAGCGCTGGGCTTTGCCAGCTGGACGCGGTGGCATGGCTGCCGCTCGCATCGACTGGCTCAAGGAGGCCGAGGACGATGTCTACGACGACGTCAGCGGCCAGGAGGCGCAGCACTTCATTGCGCCGTGGACGCCAGAGGGATTGGCTTGGGCTAAGAATCGTATTCAGGAGATACTCAGCTGGATGCGACGAGCTCCGAAGCGTCGAGCTTGCCCGCCCTGGTCAGCACCCCTCGAGCTCTGGTGGGTGGTCTTTCACCCGCATCGGCGACTGTCCCGACGATACCATGGTGTTGGCTACGAGATCCCGCAGATCGATCTTGAGTTCACGCGCAAGTTGATTCTGATATTTATGCATCGGCTTCGCAGATCAGGCCAAGTGCCCTTGGTCTGGCACCTCAGCCAGGGCATCGCGCTCACCTGGAAGCGAGTTATTCACCTCCTCGACCCGTTCGGTAAAGGATTCATGGCGACGGCGACCGACAAGACCGAGCTGCACACTGAGCCCTTGTTCGCTCACGGGTGCATTCCTCATCGGCGACGCGAAACGGCGACGCTTGGTCAGCAACTCTGTGCATGGAAGCTGCGCCGTCTCAACATTAACCATATCACGGACTTGAAGGACATCGCCAACGCCTTCGCCTCCACGGACTGGCAGAGCCTGACGGACGCCAATGAGAGCATCATGAGGGAAGACCACGTCGCCTTCGGCCGCCAGAGGTTCAGGTTCGCTGCAGTGATGTTCGGAGATATTTGTGTTCGCCCCAGCGTCGGGGCTTTGATTGGAGACCCTTGGGCGGTCAAAGTATTTGTGCGCGACATCAGCACAGTTTTTTTCGACAGTGCAGGAGCGATATGAGCAGTACGGGCCCGACACGGCTTCTTGGTGCCAGCTCGCGCTTCACCGCGACGGCGAGGATGTCACCCCGGACTTGGCGTTTCATTCGTGTGTGGACGACGCTATTCGGAAGATTGCAACAGAGGTACCATCGGCTCGAGAGGTATCCAGATGGTCACGTGCCTATGATCTACTTCTTTCTGCTGAGCTTCGACGGCACGGCTACGCGCTCAACCCAGCCAAGAATGTTAGCCTCTTGTCGTTCGTGGGCGAAGGTTTGCACGCTCGCCGACGGGAGGTGATTGAAAAAAGGTTATTCTTGCTGGGGCTCCTGCGGATGCCACTCGTCACCTAGGGGGCCAGGTCATGGGCAACTGTTCTTTGCGGGCTGAGCTGAGTTCCAGGATGGCGGCGATTTCATCCGATTTTGATTCCATGGGTAAGTATTGGTACTCCAAGCGCATCGCCTACACCGAGAGGCGCGCCGTCTTCCTGGCCAGGGTCGTTGGTCCTGCCTGCTCGGCCTGCGAGGCCTTCCTGCCTGCCCCCAGCCAGGTCGACCAGCTCACGAGTCGGGTGGTGTTTTTCGGGCGCAAGGCCATGAGGGGGGCAGCTACGTCTTGGGAGAACGGTCACGCGCGCTCTGTTTCTTCGGAGGCCGTCCTGAGGTACTGGAAGGCCCCCCCGCTGGAGGTGGAGTTTCGGGTCCGTCGGCTTCGTTGGTATCAGAAGTGGGCCCGGGAGCCGGCTCGACACCTAAGTGAATGGGCCCCCATCTTCGGCGACCTCACAATCGAAAAGCGGCGGGGCCTCAGCACTCTCACCTCAGAGGGCCACC